CCCAGAAAGGTCCAGCAACATGCCTAAAAGTCATGTGGTAAGTTTGAGGCTGTTCTGGGGTAGAAATATGGATTCCATATTCCTTTGCCCGCTATTTTTCCATAAACCACTCTGACTCCCTCGATCTCAACAGAAGTGCATGTGAAGGAACTTGAACGTGCTAGTATGATAATTGGATGCCTTGTAGGTTTTATAAACAAAAGGCCGTTCTGACAGTTCAAATTTAATTTTTCCAAAACTGAGGTTCTTTTTTCTTATGCAGCACTATTTACATTACAACTAAGGACATGAACTTCTAAATCAGTCTACTTCTTTCTTCAGTCTACTATGACTCCTTCACCTTTCTTTCCTCATGCTGACCTTGGTTTCCTGCAACCTTTCACATGTTGGAGTTCAGCTTTGCCTTGACATAACATTGAAATATATGTAATAAGTCCTTGGTATATTTTTAATTAAGTTGATTTGAACTAAACAGTTTCTATTTCCCTTTTTCCTATGATGTCTATCAGAAGTCCTGTACAAGAAAGTATGCATGTGGCCACAATGCTCTTTCCTCAAATTAGCTTTTGTTAGCCAAACTTTATCTGGTTACCCATTAATAACATTCACTTGAGACATGGCACCCTTTTAAACTGTACATGGTTCTGAACCATTTTTCTAAGAGCTTCTCACTGATTAATGCCAAATGGTCCCTTCAATAAATATTTATTGGGCATTTGCTATGGACAAGGTTCTATATTGAGCCTTGTATTAACCACTCTGTTAAATGGGTATTTGTACCCAGAATGGAAGTAAAGTCTAATTAGTTTTGGAAACTTCCATTAAGTAGTATACTTCATTGCTTAATTGTACATTTTGTATCTTTTTTGTTGTTGTTTTACATTCTCAAGTATGATTAAACATAGCAAGGAAATATGCTGACAGATTTTTAAAAATGAGACCAGTAACATTTCAAACTTGGCCAAGTCATTTCTACTGTTTTGACCAGGAGTAGTATAGTCTCTTGGAGTGTTCATTCTAACCCTTTCTCTTTTTTTTTTCTTTATTCATTACCCTTTCTCTTTACTAGCTGAAAATATGTACTCATGTTGGATTATTTCCACTAGAGATTTCTGGATTATAGGCTTTGGGTCCTTAATCTTTTAGACAATAGTAACAGAAATGTTATCTTTTGTGCTTTTGAATGACAGTGAGAAAATCTTGCACTGAATCAGTCATTAAACAGATACAGTAGAAATCAAGAGTGATTTGAGACCCAGGTTGGCCATGAAAACCTTGAAAAGATATGAAGAGTATAGCTATAAGATTCCCCCTTTCATTCATATGCTCAAAAGACATTTGTTTTAAAAACAAATGACAAATTTTAAATAAAGCAGATTCTAGGCCTTGGATGACAAAGGACACAGCTGTTTTAAATAAGCAATGCTTCTTTTTGGTTCTACTCTTATGCATATACACCCCATATTATGCCTTGTTTTCATAGCCAAGATGTTGGTGGAAAGCTCCATGGCAAGTAACACTGCAAAGGAGCAGTTGCCTCTGGGATGCCCTTTAATAGCTTTGGGCTTTGTACCAAGGCTAGGAAATGCTAAAGACCTCAGAAATTCCTCTCTTGCTCCATGGACAAGAAGGAAATAAAATTTTAAGTAAAAGGGCAGCTCATTCTCATGACTTGTAGACTTAATTGACTGGGGTATATGAAAAGTTGCATTGAGCTAAAAGAGCATTTTCAAAAGTGTCTTCTGTGAATGAGTTAAATTGTTACTATATAAACAAAAAATAAGTATTTCATGGTCAGACAGGTTTGGGGAATGAAAGCCTAAAGTCAAATGTGTGTTTTTAGTACAGGAAAGTTCAAGTCTTTATTTAAAGTGTTAATGTCGCTAGTAAATCTCTTAAGAGGAGTATAGCAAAGGCTGAATTTCCTAAACTAATTTTGCTGTGGAACCTTATTTTTTACTGTTCCTCATGGGATTACTACTCTTCTACGGAGCACACTTTTAGAAATGCTGACCTTTGAGAACGGACATATTATTTTCAATCCCTGGCATTTCATACTCTTTCCACAAAAAAGATAAGTAAATAAAAATAATGTAACTTTACTGTTCAAGGAAATTTATTTCCCTTAGTTGAAGATAATTCTATTCAGCTATTATCATTGAATTAGTAGTTTAGAATCTATTTTTCATAGTAGCAATGTTTCCTTCTTATTAACCCACCTTTGCAACCCAGAGACCCAGTTTTCTAAAGAGGGGATTAATAGTGAGTGCCCCTTTGTGGACAATTAACTATTGTACCATCAGTAATTGAACCTTGGACAATGGTTTATTCATTTTTGGTTTTTGGGTTTTTTTGTAAATTGGTTCATCAGGTTTTTTATAATAAAATTTCCATAAAAGCTTTCGTATGGGGGAAAGTGGTTAAAAGATAGTTTGACAACTACCCTACTAACTAGGATACTGAGACAGATATGAGGGGCTCCATACATGGCACATATGGGAGTGGCTAGTAGTCATTCTACAGGCAGGAAACTGCCAGAAAGACGAAGCTGTCTGCCCAAGACTAAAGAATTAATTAAAGCAGAAATTAGAATTTCTTGGCTCCACAATTAAGACTTTGATTTTTTTCTGAGTCATCTACTTGGTGTGCTAGATGACTCTGGTCACACAGATCTTTGTCTCACCTGTTTCCATCCAAGCTAGTTTTTATCCTACTACTGCTGTTTGACTCAGTTTAAACTCTCTAAGCCCCAGCCTAAATTATCCTCCTGAAAGTCAGTGAACTTTACCAGTATCACCTGGAACCTATCTATTTGAAATCTAGCATTCGTCTTTCTCTAGATCCCTGCAACCTATCCATCCTTTCTTTCTACCTTTCAATCATCTTTTAAACTAATCCATCAGCCTTTGTCACTCATTCTAGATTTTCCATGGCTGCCATTTTGTTCTCCTTAATGCTGTTTGTCCTTTTGATTAATCTTATCTATTAATAGTGCTAAATTCTCAAAATCTCCATCTGACTCTACTCTTTTCTGCCCTGTTTTTCTCTCTAAAATGGATAAAGCCACCTCTTCCTTCACATCCCTCTGTTTTCTTTTTTCTCTTATTAAGAATCTCCATGAAGTGCTCTTCTTAAAAGTAATCATCGTACATAAGTACAATAATTGCATAATTGACTGAATGAGATACCAGACATACATAGATATCTAAAAAGTAATTTTGTTTCTGAATGGGGCTCAGCCTCAGGTAAAGTTATTGGGATGTGTAGAGATAGACATTAATGTGCATAGCATGCATGCAAAGTGCCAAAGGATGATTTAAACAATAAATTCCCTAAGTATTCAAACCTACTTTTCCAGTCTTGTTTCTACTTTCTGTAAAAGTCTATGCTTCAGCTAAAAATAAGCTATGTTCCTTTTTGCCTTTCAGTTACCCTACATTTCCTATTTGCATATCTTGTTTTTGTCTACTTTCTCTTCCTAGTAGGTCTTTGCTTTTTAAAATCCTATTCAGTTTTCAAATTATACCTCAAAATATAAGCCCTGTCCTGGTCCTCAGAGGTTATCTGGGTCTCTTTCAAAGCTTTGTATTTTCATGAACTTTTTAATTCAGTTTATTTTTTATTTTATCATATCTTATATCATTCTGTACAATTACAGATGCTCAGTTTCTTGTAATGAACCATATCTTGTCCATTTCACCCACATTTGCATATCTGTATCCTTTAGCATACAAAATGCACCTGTGTATGTGTGTGTGTGTGTGTGTGTTGTGTGTTTAATTTACTGAGTGGGCTTGAAATACATCAGAAATGATGAATAATGATGAGCATGCAAGATGACATTTCAAAATTATACTTTATATTCTCCATTTGCTGTTGTACCAAGTATGTAAATTGAATAGAATATTACTCTTTTGGGGGCCAAGCACATTAGGCACACATCATGGATACCTAGCAGAGTATACAAAATCTGTATGTGATACAATGAATATAGTATAAGAGGCAATGATACTACTTGAAATACAATCAGAACCACTTGCACCTAGCTGAAATACAGTTTTTATACAAATTTAAATTTCCACCCTTATCTTTCCTTGTGTACCATTGTATGCAGAGCATGAGAACCTGCTTGATATTTGTACCAAAAGCACCTTGTTCTGATCATTGTACTCTCTAAAAAAATGATCAGTACTTGGAAATTGAACTCAGGACCTCAAGCTTGCTAGGCAAGCTCTCTACTACTTAAGTCAACACCCCAAAGTCCTCTTTATTTTTAGTTTGTTTTTCAGATAGGGTCTCACACTTTTGTCCAAGCTGGTTTCAGACCACGATCCTCCTACCTCTGCCTCCTGAGTAGCTAGGATAACAGGTGTGCACCACCACACCCATGTTGTACTCTGGAGTAGGAGTGGTAAGCAAGCTCTTAAGTGACATACCCAGTCTTTCTGCAGGAGAAATTTATTCTTTACAACAATTTGAAGTGTAAAGAAATATTTGTAGGACAAAAAATACTCAAGATTCTAAATACAGTTACTTTTAGAGTTGACTTAGATTATTAACAGGCATAACTATCCTTCACAAACCACAAAATTTGCTTTACTCATGTCCAGTGATGTGACTTCTTTGTGGATGTCTCCATTACAATTTTTGGCAATTTCCATTGATGATTTGTGTTACTGGAGTTGACATCGATTGCTCTTGGTTTCTCAGAATTTATTTCAGTTCTGATATACAAAGATGGTTCCAGATAATTTTAATAATGCCTAAGGGGACAGCAATCTGCTCTATAGGAAGGACAATGGAACATGCAGCTGCAATTATGTCACAGACATACTGTTCTTACTCACATGTGTTTTATTTAGGGTATTTTGTTGCTCTTCATGTCAAAAAGAAAGAGAAAACAGGAAATGATGAGTTGATATGATAATGAGCTATATTAATAGAAATCTTTGTTACATTTATATTTTTCTAGGACAAAGAAGGATCTTCAAAAAACAAAAATGAAGTTCACTTTTTCGTGCCGGTGCTTGGCACTGTTTGTTCTTCTGAATGTAAGTAAAACAAAATTATTGTAAGCCTTGTCAACTGAGATGGCTGAATAAGGAGGAATGTCTGAGTGTGATTGAATTGGTGTTTGCAAGGATAGGTATCATTCTCCAAAAGCCAAAACTAAGTTCCTCAAAACCATCATTTTTTCATAATATTTTGTTAACACATCTCCCCTCCAAACTTTCATTAATTAAACCAGTATCCAGGTTTATCCAGAACTTTGAGTTTTATTTGTTAAAAAATTTAATACTAGCTTGAGGCATCTCCAAATTACCTTGGAAATTAGCATGGAAGGCTAGTAATGTTCTTGGGTAAAGTGCATTTTGTGCTTGACATGCGGATTTGAATCATAGTTTCTGGGCTATTCAATCAAAACACCTGAAATCCATTGGTCTGGTTATTGTAAATTCATTTTTCATTAAAAACTGAGATTCTTCAGGACTTTATCTACCACTATCATTCCATAACTATTTCTCCGGCCTTTTAATTCATATTCCATTTGTATAATTTTATATTGTTTTATTCCTCAGCAATTTAGCTAGTTAGAAGAGCAGTCATCTCAGAAGACACTATCAAAGCCTATTTATTTGTGTCAACGTTGTTAATCCATCATCAGGTCAGCTTCAGTAGCACGTGAATGAAGATGAGTAATTTTACGAAGTCAGTTTGAGGTTGCCTTGATCCCTTTCTTTTATACCTCATCAAAATAACATTTTCCAGTGAATTATAGCTGCCAGCAAAGATCACTTAACATCTCATACCTTGACCCAAACATGGCTTGACTAGGGTTCTAGGATTTCCATTATTCATTAATGTGTAGTTCCAGGCTTACAAGTCAACTAAACTGTTTCTTTTATATTAGTCATGAAAAAATTACATGTAATTGTATGATTTCTAGACAGAAATATTTTATAGTTTGTGGTCATCTCTTGACCCGCAAGCATAACTAAACGGTTAAATGGCTTTGTACCCTCTTTGCTGTATTTGGATTATGTATTTCCTTTGGAAGATTTGTCATGAAACAATATTTGATACATCAGTTTCCTTCAAAACATTTTGTTCCACATGAATACTCCTCAAAGAAAATATAATTTTTGAATGACAACATTCTTAATTAATCTAAACTATCACATTTTACATAATACATTGTTGTGAAAATCACTAATAGTATATTTATAAAATTCTACCAAATTTATATATTTATAAAATTCTATCAGTTTAGGCCATCACCTTCCCTAGTCTCTTCTCCACTAACCTAAACCACCACTGACTTCCTCTCCCTTCTGTGAGGTAATACAATAGGTTTGGACAGAGGTTGGTACATAGTGAGCACTCAAAAGATGCTGGTAATGATGATGACAATAATGGAGACATAGAAAAACTAGGTTTTTTTCTGAGAAGCATTTTGTTTACTTAACTGAGTTCCTATAGAAAGTACATAGGGCACCAAATAGGCATCTGATCCTACTTGGTGTTCTTGAAAACTGCAAATAATTTGACATATTTCCAAATTTTTATTGTAGTAAAATGTACAATAGAGTTTATCATCTTAACAAAAAAACTGTAGCATATACATTATGAGAATTAAGGATGTGACATGGAAATACCACTGGTTACTGGTTATGTCAATTGATAGAGGGCGCATTTATATTCTTTTATTTTAATTATACAAATTTATGGGGTACAAAGTGATCATTGACACATGCATACAGTGTGTAATGATCAAATCATGATAGTTAACATTTCTATCTCCTTAAACATTTTTTAAGATTTTTGATGAATATATTGTTTCTAGAGTAATTCTGTCTGAGACAATAAATAAGTAGCTCTCCCTTCATCACCATAACGTAGCTGCATACATTCAGTGAGCTTGGACCATTTCACAGGTAGATCAGTTTTTGAAATTGCAGTCAAAACAATTCTGTGTACTTTGAGAAATTACCTGTAATCCAAAAGTAGACTGTTTTTTAACAAATTAGGAATTGCCTTAGCATGTGGTCATTTCATATCAGTTGCTTTCCTCTGGACTCCACGATTACTACGGATTAAACCTTCCAGAATGTACGCTCCATGAGGGCAGGAACCTTGCCAGTCTTGAGTGCGGCTGAATTTTCAGAACTTAGAGAAATTCAGAGTAATTAAAGTATTTATTGCCCCAAAGATCCCACGATGTTTAGCTGCTGCTGTTGGTGGCAGCTTGGCGGTCGTATGTGTGGCGCCATTTACTTGAAGCTTTAGGAGTGACATCACATATACGGCAGCTAAACTGCTACATGGGACAACAATTAAGAGGCTGGTTGTTTGACAGATCACATAATATGGTTTATTGCAAAACTTAAACACTAGTTTATTCAAACAAGCAATATGACTTTGACGTCTCATTTCTATCTTTATGTAAGCATAGAATCATATATTTATTTAAATCCCTCAAATCCATGCTATAGACCTAACACTTATGGTAAGTATATTATTGTTACATCTTTCACATTGCCTTTGTTTTATATAAACACTAGTGGCTTTACTTTGCCTTTTTATTGCTGAAAATTATTGCTGAAAAATTACTACCTCACTAGCAAGTTTTATTTGTACAAAATTATCAAAAAATGTTTTATATGTTTAGTGAACTTTATGAAATTTGTGTATGTTTTATTTTTAAGCAGTATTAAATTTCACAATTTAAATTATATGTAATATTTATATATCTGTTATTTCCGTTCCTACCTATCTATATATCTCTCCATTTCCTTCTATGTATGTACATACATACAGAGAGAGAAAGAATGCCTCAATGTGCATGTTATTTTAGGAAGAAGGTCACTGAGACATTCAGCTACCACTGGGAATATTCCAACATCGATGTTCAAACATCAGGCCAGAAGCGGAATCAGATTACCTGTGGCTCACCTGACAAGAGAGGTTCTGATTTCTCATTCCTTCAGTGTTGAAACAATCTCCACTGAACCAGCCTCAAACCAAGTTCACTGGAGTTTGTTTCAATATTGCAAGAATGATAATTTTGAAGCTACTGTCATCGGCATGAACTATACCTACTCTTATTCAGATGTTATCTCCACTGTTACAGATGTTAAAATTGTATTAAACAAAATAAAGATATGATTGAGAATACAAGTGTAGAGTTTTTCACTTAATACCCATGCACATGCTCTTTCCCCATGGAATCTATGAATTTCCAGCTAGTGCAGGAAGCTTCTTAATGGATTGTCAGTCATGAAGATAGACTGTTACTTTGGAAAGAGAATCAACCATGAGGAAAATAGTCTCTAATGTCTAAATATCAAGCATACGTGACAGATAAATGAATATATATGATATTTCATCTTCTAATTTGATTTGAAGATGATAAGAAAATGGCCCAGAAATTAATAATTTCCTTTCTTTGATGGCTCAATAATATTAAGTTGAATTCTTAAAATATACACATATTTTAAGATTTAATGAAATATACATTCATCCAAATGTTGGCTAATGAAGTACAAAAAGAACCCTGAACATGAAAAATCTTCAAAGTATATTTTGAATGTTTCACAAGTCATGTTTCAATTCCTAATAGAATATCTGCCAATGTTAAGACTGAATGAATATTTATTTTTCACAATTCCTGGTGTCAGGAAAATATTTCATATGTTGGTGTTTCTTGCAAGACTGTAAGCTCCATGACAGCAGGATTCATACTTATTTTATTCGGTACTATGTCCTCAACATCTAGCACAAAGGTTTAGTTTATCAAGCTCAGTGATTATCTTCTGACTGGTTTATCTAAAAACCAGTGAGAGAAGAATCGTATGTTAACAGAGTTGTGTTCAGTTACACAGATAAAGGTTGCATAGTTTTAATCATTCTACTGGGATCATTAATTTATCTTCTGTCCTGAATTCTGGAGCATTAAAATTAGAATTAATCTATGTATTCAAAGAATAGTGTCAACTTTATTCCTAATAGGTGCCCATTTGGTGTTGTAACAGTAATAAGTAGCCCCCCTCTTCTCTGTGATTTCCATCAGGTGACTTCCTGGCATCTCCAAAACAGAGCCTATCTTCTTCCACCTACTGTTTCCCTTTCCCCCATTTCTCATTTCTCACGGAACTTTATTTTCAGTTATTTACTTAGGCTAAATATTTGGGCTTTTGACTATTATTTTTCTCCATCCCTTATATTCAAATATGCTTCTACATTCTTATTATTTGAGAAGGTGCTAAGCTATACTTTCCTGTTTTATCATGGGTTAATCCAGTCCAGGCCTTTTGCTTTCTGGCTGCCCTTCCCCATCAAACCTGAAGACATTTGATGCCTGCCACATGAATTTTACTAAAATTCCCCTTTCACAACCTTCACTGATCAAAAACTTAAAAACTATCTTTATTATCATATTTTGTTAATAGCATTTAAAATCTACTGAGCCTTTTATTTTCCAGGCATTTTGTATTTGTTATCTTGTTTATCTTCATGACTCTCATAGAGAATAGCTATTATTAGTACTACTCTCATTTTACAAATGGGGAAATATAGAGCTGGAAAGGTTTCTAGCGTACTCAAGGTGACAATACAAATATAACATTTTTTTGGCCTTCAAGACTTTGTGTTATCTGACTCCTTGACCCCATTTCTTACCTATCCCCAAATATGTTTCCCTTTAGACAGGGTGTTTCTGCTACAATATAGCATATTTGTCACTCCCAATCTCTGGTCATTTGTACATCCTTTTCCTTCAATCTCCAAAGCCTCTCCTCTCCTCTTTGTCTAATCAGAGACTACATAAGTTCAAGTTCCAATTCCCATCCTACCATGTATCTGTAACCATCCCTTACTATTTTGGCACCACACTCTCTCTGCACTCTGAAATTCAATTGTATTTTGTGCTGTACAGCTTAGCATTTAGCTGTACACTATCATATATGTCCCGTGACATCCACTGAAAACACTGAGACTCCACCAGGAATGATTTGGGCACATGGGTCAATTCAATGATGATGAGTTTATTCTGTCATAAATACACAGAGAAAAACTTCAATCTTAGAATAATTTAGACAGAATGAAGCCAAATAACTATGTATTTGGATGGATGTTAAGAGGGCAAAAAGTGTTCTTAACTTCATAAAAAGGTCTTCTCCAAATGCAAAGTGTGGGTGTTGAAAAGAATCACAGACTTGAGTACCACTAAAAATATTAATCATAGCCACAAAAAAATGAACTTTATGTAAAAAAAGGCAGAAAAAATAGTATGACAGAGAGCAATCTACATACACACACACATACACATCAACTTTGATAGAGAGCTGTGATGGTGATGGTGATTAACTGAAACTGAAAAACTAACTCAACCTGTACTGAAAATGCAAATATGCCAGTATAAATAGGTAAGAATAACATTGATTTTTCTCAGTGAAAATGAATTACTCTGTGTAGGTTATGTGCTAATGAAACCATTTTAAGGAGCTTTAAGTCAATTATCAAAGACAAAAAAACCATATTTTGTTCTATGAAATAAATGGAGCAGATATCTGACAGGGTACACAATCCAAGCACAAACAAAATTTAGCTGAAAAAAATTCAATAAAAGAAGCAGATTCATTGAACCATGTCTATTTTTAATAGTGTAATCCATGATTCATAAGAGTTCCAAAGAAAGCAAAGTTGATTTAATGTTGGGATTTTTTGGAAATCAGGTTACTTCCTTTATCACTTTGCAGTGATAATAAAATTAAAATAATCCTAGATGACAAAGAGTGCATGAGTGTGTGTGGGTGCTATCCATTTTCAGTAGTGAATGGATATTAATGCAAATATAAAACTGCTGAAATTTGTATATCAAATGTAAATATACTTTTTAGTTATAAATCAAAATATTCTACATGGAGATCATCAAAAAGTTGCTTGTAAAAGGAAAAATAAATGCTTTTAAACTTTTGTAATTTATGTGCTCTTTTATCCCTACTCTGTATAAATAACTGATTTTCCTTTTTTAATATAGCACCCAAGTCCAATTCTTCCTGCCTCTTCAAATCTTACCTATCCAACAATTGAGCCCGAGCCATTTCTGTATGTGATAGGACGCAAGAAATTGATGGATGCCCAGTACAAATGCTATGAACGAATGCAGCAGTTACCTCCATATCAAGGAGAAGGTAAAGAGAAGGATCTGTGTGAACCTGTGTTTGAAACATCAATAAAGACTTATTCTCTTCCATGGATAAATATATACTGAGTAATGTAAATTTAATATGCCAGTACTTTTCACACTATGTTATGTTTGTGTATTTCATGGGGGCAGATATACCTATCTTTTCCTCAACTTAACATCTAACTTCTTTTTGGCTCACATCTGCCCTCGTGACAAAATTACTGCAATAACTCAGTACTCACATCTGGCAAGCAGAAACAATACAGAACTGAGGGAAGGAGAGGAAGTGGAAAATAACAGGACAGAGAAGTGGAAAGTGGTGAGCAAAGAATTTGCCTGATGTAGAACCTGTCAAAACCCTTCCTGTTTGGGATAATTAGGCATCTCTTTCCTTCACTGTAAATTGGTTAGCAATCCAAGCCATTTCTTTCCTTCTTTCTATTCTTAGTACTCTGGAAATTAAGCAAGCATTGTTTATCTGTCGCCTTCTCTAGAGTGGTCTATGTGACTGCCCAAATGTTTTCAGACCCAAGCATATTCTATTACCTATAGAAGACCTAGAGGGAAAACAAAAGAGAAATAGATACAGTAGGCAAGCATTGGAACATCCATTTAAATTCTCATCCCTGTCCCTTTAAGACATTTGAAAAGCTTCAATAAGACCTTGTCCAACCTCAATCATCCTAAGACAGTTCTACTTGGCAAGAAAAAAAAATGATTAAATATACTCTGCTACTACACATGGTTTGCTTTAAAATACTTAAAAGTTTTAATTTGTAGTTCCTATTTTTAAGCATTCTCCTTTAAAGAAAAAAATCAAGTCAATTGAAAGACAGATACATGTCATCCTATCTGCAATAGTTTCAGTATTTACCAAGAATTGAAGAGTCATTGGATGCAACTCTACCCAAAGGAAAAACCATTTCTTGGAAGGAAATGAGACAATAGCAACACTTTTTTAAAACTCATATTTTCAGAAGCCAAGTGAGCTAAGTCTAGTTGTAGCCACTTTAGAAGGCTAAATTTTTGTGCTATGTTCACTATTTTTAAAGTAAATTTTGAGAATTGCCTCCAAAATCTCATATTTATTCTTTTGACTAAATTTATAAAGGTGAATCTTTATGTTTTAGAGCAGATTTAATTTTGGAAACAGCAAGAAACCATTTGGAACCAATGTTGATGAATATGTAAAGTGATCAAGCTAAGTCAGTAACAAAGTATAATTCTAAAGTAATAAGGCCTTCTATGTGGCTGCAAATACATACCCAATAGAAATTTTAAACAATTCTGTCACGCTTGGATTAAGAATAGAACTATACAAGACAGCCCCTTCAAGATTAGTGTTACTAACTTTCATTTGTTCCAAAGCCATATGAACCTTTAATGGCGAGCCCTTATCCAGGGTTGAAACTGCAAATACTGCAAGAGATTCCTTGTAGTATTTCTGGAAATATTTTAAAGGAAATCTTTTGTGAGGAAAGACTCAATACATATGACATGTGTATCTTTTAAGGCAAAATGGGAAACAAAAAAGCTACAAAAATGTAAATTCCATTAGAAGTAAATAAAGTTAACTATTTATTAACTTTAAAGTTAATAATGCTAATAGTGATTGTGTTACTGCTGCTGTCATTGTTTTTACTATTTCCCTACCCCTGGGGAAAGCTCCAGAATGAGACATGCTCAATTGTCTATGTACGGTTAAATCCTGCTGAGGTGTCAATAATTTTTGACAACTTTTAATTATATCTTAATTGTCTAATTTAAACTTTATCTCCCAAATTAAAAAAAAAATTGGTCCTGAGATCCAGACTGCCAAGGACAAATTCCTTGTTTTAAATCCAGTTACTTCTTGTCAATTCCTTACTTCATTGTCTATAAATAAGTGTATAACTTAAAGAAAAGATTTATTAGCTGTAAAGTACCAATAAACATCACCAAATCTATTTGTTAAGAATATCCCCCATCCTTGAAATTTATTTGGAAATTTTGAGGAATCAGTTGGAGTCATGAATTTTATCAAATAGTACTCTCTTACTGAATTTTTCTTCAAATCTTTATGCCAATAATGGTGAAGAAAACTTAATATACCTTATAAGAACTGCAAGACAAACTAATCCATATCCAATTTCCCAGTTGAATATTTTAAAGAAGGATCAAGTTTTAGGCTTTTTTTTTTGGTGGCACTGGGGTTTGAACTCAGAACCTCACACTTGATAGGCAGGCGCTCTACCACTTGAGCCACTCTGCCAGCCCAAGATAAAATTTTAGGAATTAAAAACTTACCAACATATCTCAAAACCTCTTTGATTAACAACCAGCCTTTACCACAAATTCTCCTCATTTACAATTAAACAAATTGAGAGCAAGGTAAAATACAGTGTTTGGGTCTACTTGCTAGAACACTGCCTTGTCATCCAATGAGATCATTTGCTACAAATTTGCTAAAGCTATTTGAAACTATTTCAAGAATAAATGACTTTGAGTCCTTTGAAATGTGAGCCATCATGGCGGGCCTATTGGGCTCAGCTATATACGTAAGACTGTCTTGGGATCAATCTTATCTTTTAGTTAAGTCACATGGCTTCACTATCAATTCCTTTCTAAATGGCTAGGTCCATACTGCAACCGTACCTGGGATGGATGGATGTGCTGGGATGACACTCCTGCTGGAGTCCTGTCCTTCCAGTTATGCCCAGATTACTTTCCAGACTTTGACCCAATGGGTAAAGTATTTGCTTTTATTTTATATCTTTGGATTGGAGCTTTTGGAGTTTTCATCGATCTGAAAATAAAATCAGATATGAAATGTACCTACCTAGTCATACTTCATGGTTTAATACACTCTGAAGAATTTCTAAAAATGACTTATTCAGTTGTACAAGTACTGCAAGTTGTCTTTATTTTAAAAGTCATATTGCTATTGTGCATATTGGAGTTAAATTCTGGCCTTTCTAAAACTCTGTGGATACTTTTATTTACATGTAAATCAACTTTTTTTTTCAGTTGTCACACATTTGGTGATTTAGGCAAAGTCTTGATCTAGAGTTTGCACATATCAAGCTTGTATGACATGTACAATGGAAAATTTAAATATCCTTGAAAACTGTATGAAACTGTCATATTTAAAGGAAAATAAATCTGAAAATGGTAACTCTGGACACAAAGTTTCTGTTTTAAGAGCAGATTATTGAAATATGCTAAGTAAGGAAAACTAATGCTACAATAATTGTTCTACCAATTCCCAGCTCTGTGCTAAAGACAACATAAGCTGACAAATGTGTGTTGAGTAAATAAGTGTCACCAAATTCACTTTTGATATAAAAGTTATGTAGTAATGCTTTTCATTGAATATCAACTTTTACATTGTCAGAATATTTTCATATTATCTCATTTTATATTTACAATATTTGACACAAACCTGCAAATGAGCCTGTCTCCTGAGACTAACTCTCTCTACATACTTGCAAACAATGTAGAAAGCCTTTTGAGAAATTTTATTTCTCAATCTTTAAACTTGTGCACCTTGAAATACTTTCAGAACTTTTAAGGGACGACACGTAATTTCTTCATGCCTCAATCTCATCACACTAGTGTGGTTAGAAGCCAAGCTAGAATGCTCAAGCAGGATGAAAGTCAAGGAGTCATGTCCCAGTAGAGTGAGACATTAAAGAGCTGAAGTTGTGTGCAATAGTTTTTTTCAGGTGTCCAAGTGTTGGCGGTCTGAAATTGGAGGAATTCTGTGGTTAGTGCTCAGTAATAATGCAGAGGAATGTAGGGAGGGAATGTAACAGCCTCAATCCAGAGACTAGGCAGGCAGATGAGAGTGGAAAATGGGACTGGGTGAAATAATAACCGTAAGGGAGTGATTTTCCCCTTGACTGAGATGCTGAGGCACTTTATCAAAACACTGATGCCTGATGTCATCCACAGATTCTGATTTAATGGGTTTGGAGTGTAGCCTGAACATCATGATATTTTTAAGTTTTGCTTATTATTAAATGCACAGCCAAGATAAAACTAGTAAATGATAAAGACAGTCCAGATAAGAAGGTGGCAAGGACCAAAGGGGCTCAGCCTTGTGCACTAAGCAGCTGTGCCACTTGGAGGCAGAACGCAGCGTCCGATGAGACTAACGCAGGGAACAGGCAAGGTGGACCCCAGAAGGAAAAAGGTGGTAGCAAGGAACTGTGCAGATCAGGTCTCGGAAAGTCCTTTTCCAAGAACCTAGAGAGAAAAAATCTGTGCCATTGAAATAAATCTGGAATTAAGATACTGGAAAGGGGGTTTAAATGTGTTGTAAAGGAAGCCCAGATGCTGGAATTAAATGGGCTTAGCCTAGATAGAACATGTGTGTCTCTATTAAGGAGTAAGATATTTTTCCCCAGTGGTAAATAAAGCCTGAGCCAGTATAGGGTGTTTAAGTAGCTCTGAAATCCCACTGAGAGCAGAAAAATAAGTCTGTCCCTGGGACAATGTTTAGAAAATGTTTATTGTACTTCATTCAAGGGACGATTTTATTTGGCTCTGAAACCAAAGCTCCAGGTGGATGGCAGGAATGACAGAAGTGTAATTATAGGAGTCCTCTTCTAAAACTAGTACAGGCCAACTACTTCTGGAAATTCCTATTTTGATAGAAAAATTGGATGTGAAGAAAGGGCTCTGTACAGTGCCCTAACTCAGAACTATATTCCTGTAAACTGTAACTAGATGCTGTTTGATGATAATCCTCCAAGCCTTTATCGACTTTTCCTAATAAGTGACGTTTCATTAATCTTGATTTGACAGCTACATTAGAGGAAGGTGATTGGCACAAAAAGCTGTTCTACAATGGAGGCTACTCGGCCAGTTCCAAAGTAGCAGTGGGCTGTTGCCAAAGTGGCTATAAATATTGACTAAAACACAAGGTCTTCATCAGCAAAATAGAGATTTCCAGGCATAGATCCATCCTTTCAACCTGGTTTTTAGAGGGAACCCTCTCAACACTAAAGGCCCCACCCTGGAGTCAAACAATCAATTAACATTAATGACACAGAGTCAAGATGGTCTGGACAGGGATTCTCAACTTTAATGCCCATTGGATTAGTGAGATGTTTGTTTGTTTAACACTAGAATTTGAATCTCTAGGGATAGAGCCTGAGAATCTGTTTGTAAATTAGAAATGACAATATCTGCTTTGCATATCTCTGCTGAAGATAAAATAGGCATCACATATTAAAATGTCTTGTAAAATACACCATCCATGAAGTCTCTATTGACTGATAGTTACATTTGAGTTCTATGAAATGATTAATAATTTAAAATGGTTTTTAACTTAATATTTTTTCCTTCTTGGGATTTTGAGCTCTTAATAACATAACAGTTATTACTGTTATGTTTCATTAACAGAAAAAGTTACAAAATACTGTGATGAGAGTGGGGTTTGGTTTAAACATCCTGAGAACAATCGAACCTGGTCCAACTATACCTTGTGTAACGCATTCACTCCTGAGAAACTGCAGGTAGGTTCTGGTTTTAAATCTAAGCTCTAAGCGTTGAATGAGAATGCCACTATCCATATACAGAAATGGATAAATAAGCATAAAATATCTGGTACCAAAAAGACCAACAAATATTTATGGAAGAACATCAAACAACCTATAAACTCTAGGTCTCTGTGAAGTGGCATGAGAGAAAATTATGCTTCTCCTTTTTGTTGGCACTCAGTGTCAGTGGGACTTCCATGGGCATATGGAATCAGGTCTTGTATGGCAAAGAGAAGTGTGTCCACAGAGCAAATGATGGGATTTCTTATGATGCCAGAAATTAGACAGCATTTTGAAGGACTCTCTAGCATATCTCTCCTTCTGGAACTGTTCTAAAACTTCAGATTATTCCACAAGTCACAAGCTACAAGTTATTCTCTCCTCCCACTGTGTTGGATGTGACCCTGATTTTACTAATAGGCATTGAGAAGATCCCTATTGGCCTATTGATTTAGGTATGGCAGTTTAGGTTATTTTCAAAGAGACCCTATTCTGATTTGTTAGTACTTGTGTCTTGCTGACTGCTAAATATTTTGAATAGCATCTCAGCTTAGAAATATTTATTTAAGCCCATAGGAGGAAAACAGAAGCTGTCTCTTCTTCAACTGCATAAGAAATCTGAAAAGATCGTAAGTCAACAACTAGCCTTTCACCAAACAGAGCTGGGAGACACAGTGTCAATGTTTACATCTCTGAGCAACTCTGCTGGCTGCAACATGATTTGATATTTCCTTCAAAGACAGACATATGTACTAAATAATTACTGAGTTAAAAGTTAAAAACAAGTCATGCTTTTGTTTGCTGTTGAGAAGTTTTAGAAGTAAATAAATTTTCCTTTTAATAAAAACAAAACAAATGACTAACAAAACAGAGAAATAGATAGCTTAGAGAACAGTTGACTAGTGAGATACCTGTCACAAGCTCAGAATGAGGACACCAAAGCCACTGACTTCTTTACACATTGCTTAAGTCACCCTTGAGACTCGGATGCACCCTACTAGAAAGTTATTTTCTCAATAAAATCTGATTGAATTGACATGTCACTGAGTACAGAATTTTTATGAAAAAAATATAAACATGTTAACTGAATTATTATAAATCATGCAAATCCAAATAAATAATTCCCAGGGTTACCATATTTGACCTTCTCATACATCCTGACCACATCTTAAGACGGAAACAATTTTAAGAAGATAAGCAACCCATCACCTAATGAATAAATTCTTTCCAGAAATCCTTCACATAAAAAATCATAAAAATTTGAACTTGCAGTTTAATTTTTTAAAAAACTTCTCAGTTTTGAAAATGATGCTGAGATGACACTAAATTATGAGCCACAGATTTAATCTTATGCATTTAGACAATTCTATTTCAGAAGAATTTTTTTTTTAAAAAAAAAGGAGTATTCTGAAGGCAGCTGAAAGAACATGAACTAATTATATGGAGTTTTCTTTTAAAAACAGCATTAAGTTATATGAAGCTTCTTTAGAAAAATAGCCAGAGAATGAGTTCCTGGAGAAAAGCAAGAAGCTGAATGTTTATTTTCTTGAAAAGATTTCTAAATCCTCCCCCAAGAAAGTTATTTGAAGTTTTTATCAGCTCCAATTATAAACTAACTATTCTAACTGTATTATCATTGCTCACAAAGATAAGAAGTGTTATTAGGATAATGATATCAACAACAACAATGGGGAACAAACGATATGTAAATGTTTGGTTGAATGGTAAAACAGGCACAATTCAAGAGAAGTTTAGTCCGTTTTGAAATTCCTAGGGCCTAGAAAGGCAATATTTGTCTTCAGACAGTAATCATGCACATAACCCAACAAAGGGCTCTGTGTGCTTAGAAAGTGTTCTAGCAGAATTAGCTTCAATGTCAGATCTTTCACAAAGCAATGAACAAGAATCAAAATGCTCAAAATACAGTAAACATCACATTTCTCCCAGAAAGTCAAATAACTTCATAGAAATTATTCAACTTATCTACATTACATTTGCATTTAAGCCAAAACTCCAAAACTATGGCAGGAACTTCAGACTAGAGGTCAAGAGATAAAAATACAACTGCAAAATTATGCAAAAATCAGGCTTTGTTAAGAAATACAGCAAGCAAAAAATATCCCCAGTGCTAATAGAGTCAAGTCTATTTCAATTACAACTGATAAAACTTTCTAATACTAATTACAAAAACTTGTGTTAAAATTTGTGTGTGTGTGTGTATGTGTGTGTGTATGAAGAGAAAGAGAGAACTGAATCAATCTCTCCATTCTATATGGTAATATTATAGTATGAGAAAAGCAAGATTATCAGTGATCATGAAGAAGACGTTATGATATCATGAATTTTATTAAGAAAGCATTACAAACACAACACCATAACACTGTGAGAGAAGAAATAAATTAACAATAATCATGAAAAACAGAATCAACCAATGGTTGTCGAAGAGAAAGATATGGCTTCTTCAACCAAATAAATATTAATGATACCATTTTTTCAAATTTATTTTAGTTGATATATAAAATTGCATGCATTTTAATCCCAGGTTTAAAAAAGGCACAAAAACTACCACCATATTCTGCTTTTTCTGTATATTCCTCAAGCTGAGGGCCAAAATTTGGATAGTAAATTACTTTTCTTCAGTTCTGTGGGGTAGACATGCCCACTGTCTATAATAGGACCCTGAAAGTTCAAACCTACCTGGATTAGTTACTGGACTGAGGGTAATAGTATTTAAGTCATTTAAAACTACTGCAATAGATTTTAATGAAATTTAGTTCATCTCAAGGAGCATTATTCTGTAAAAGTAGGTCAATTTATTTCCATAAAATAACATGAATAAAGATAAATAATTTCATTCTCTGAAATATTTATTATAATTTTAGTAGATTTTTTAAAGGAGGAAAACATTTGTTGATTTATACTTACATTTAGACAAAGAAATAGTTTTCTTCTTTTACAATCATTTATTAATCTATTTAGGTTTTTTTTTAACCTTTTCTATTCCAGAATGCATATGTTCTGTACTATTTGGCTATCGTGGGTCACTCTATGTCAATTTTCACTTTGGTGATTTCCCTGGGGATTTTTGTGTTTTTCAGGTAAGTACATTTATAGCCTCTGCTTTTTACTTTCTTCTTTAAGTAACCTGAGTAAATGGTAAATTCTGAAACAGGGGGTCTAAGGGAGGATCCTCTGTAAATCGTAAGTCATATACCATGGGAGTGATAAAGTAGCAAGAAAAATGAAAGGAATTAAAATATGGCTTACTTTGAAGAGAACAAGATAGCTTCATCGTCATTTTCAATGGCAGTGCCTCCTGCCAAAAATAAGGCAGTACTATCAACCGATAAGGGCACTGTGGTAAAATGTAGTAAAGGTTGCATTTGCCAAGTAGTGAGGAGAGGATTCCCCAACTTCTCCTCTACCTACTCCAATATATGCAGGCCATGGCCACAAATTCAAATTTGCCTGACTATGAGCTGCATCGCCAGTGGATTTAGCCAAAAGAGAAATGAGGCTGGTAAGGCCATGATCATGGTTACCAGGGTAGCTCCTGAGCCTCTCTGTTGCCTTGATTCACTCAACCAGGAATAAAGATTCTGAAAGAAGACAGCTCATTGGTCATTGTCTGTTCTTTGCCCTTGCAAACCTACCATTGTAAACAATCATCGTCTAAGACTCTGAGACGTAAAATTCCAGTGAGGGCTTTTATTCCAAGGCTGTGTCTATACACTTTACGGCATTATATATGGAAAAGTGATTAAAGTGACATAGGCGCCAATTTCACTATAGTGGAAAATTTTATTTGTTGATCTGTATTTTTAAGAATAATTTCATAATGCATGTGAGATAATGACAAATAGTAATACTGGGATATTTCCTAAATTCGGTGACATTTCTTTAAATCAAAGGCAGGAGACACTGAATTACTCTTTCATGAGAATTCTGATTTCTACACTAGTGTGTTATCTTCTTCCATTTATGTGTTTCAAACCATTCTCAGTATAAAACTGGAGTTTTCTATATTTTATTACAGAATATAAGATTGAATAGGAAAAAATTCAGTATTCTCTTCTCCATTTTGTGGACAAGGTGGGAGCTAAATACCTGATGATTTATCTTTCCTCACTAAGTATCTGTTATTTACATAACTATCTAATACAGAAACTGTCTAGAGTTCCCAATCAGCAGAAGGGCTGTATATTTTGTTCATGCAGAAGACTACCTTATCAGAGACTCCTATTGCCCTTATTCCAATTTAGGTCCTAGTCAACAATCTCTAGAGCCATGATAGATGACATAACCGATGAAAACAGCCTGCAGTTGCCATCTGATAAGATTCCTTAGCAAAAACTCTAGAGAAATAAAATTTGGAGACGTGTTAGCCTATGTAAGAACAAGTAAAAAACAAGCACAACAATAAAACCTAATTTAAATGATGGTCTTACTTTACAGTATTGAACAATTATAATTATAATTACTGAACAATTATATTAGAAAGTAAAATATGGGAAAACACACTAAGAACAACTTGAATTCTTTAAGACATCTCACATGTGGATGAATAGATTTAGTTTTTAAGATAACTACATTTAAATTGAAAACAGTTATATTTGTTGTCATCAAGTGATAGAGCACCTGCAAGGCAAGGATGAGGCCCTGAGTTCGAACCCCAGTACTAAATAAATAAATAATAGATTGATAGTACTAAATAAAATTAAACCAAGGGAGACTTATCACTGTAAATACATCTCTAGCACAACTACTATTTTTCCTTGATCCTTTTTAAATCTATATCTATACCATAGTAAGGATTCTTATATTATGTTTAACTGAATAGTTAATAATTACATATAAGTAAGGAGACAATAAGTGACTTCCACAAATGGTTTAACACGAGAAACACTGATAAAGCAACAAGACACAAGGTATATTAATTACTAGAATTAGAAGAGTATTTTCAATTTTAATGACCAGAACACAGCAGAGCAACCATTTCACATGATTAATTTTGGAATGTCTGCTCATTTTTCAATTGCTTTTCACCATGGTGAATAAATACATCATCATGACTCTCAACAACTTTGATTAAAAAGTCTGCCACTAGTTTAAGGTTTACTTGAATAACAAAATTGAAAGAAAAATCCCTCAAATCTGTAATCATATATCTAATAGATGTAGTCAGGACCTCAAAAGCAAATGTCAAAGGGGCATTTCTTTTTATCTTTTCAGTCACTTAAGTAAGTGATTAGAGTTAAATCAGCAAAGAAAATAAAAATGTTCTTTCAGCTATCATTTCTATATTAAGCCACTGTAGATGGGTGTTTAAAATGCCACTGATATCTGTGTTTTCAAGGAGAAGTGTATAGATGTTTTTATGTATTTATATATACAGTACAATACTAGTTACTTAAAAATTAGCTGAAGAGTTTGGTGAATGTTCAGTATCATACAAATTGTTAGTCATGAGATCACCTAGCATTTAATGCAACTTTTTAATGTACTTAAAAATTATTTAGTACCCATAGTCAAAGAAAATTATTCTTCTATATTGTAAAATTAAAAATGAGCATTAAGCTCTAAGATGCATCAGGCAGTGTTTAGGTACATAAACACTTCCTTTAGCACTTCCATTCTAATGGGAAGAAAAGAGAAAGTAACAGTTAATAAATATATTCTGAGTCAGTATGTGGTAAGAAAAATAAAGCAGAGTGCAAGGGCAAGAGTAAGCTGCAGCAAAGGAGCTGTGCCTCATTTAGGGAGTTTGCTTTACACAGGAGGTTGAAGCTATTGAAGTTCTCTTAAATGGCGCCATGCATGAGCAGATTACTGAATTCCACTCAATCAAAAGGAAGCGAGGCATAAGGATAGCAGTGGTGTATGATACCTTCATTCATACTCTAGTTCTAGATAATGTCAACTGTCATCGGTCCAAGCCAGGCTGAATCCCACAAATATTTACCCCCAGTGAGAAGAATTATAAAATGCTACTATGACTGTATGTGCAGGTTCAACAGGACTGACTGGAACACTTGCAAGATGGAAGCATTTATGCAGTATAAATGATTGTGATGTTTCAAATACTGTTTTTCTTTTTAAGATCTCAAGTTTGCAATCTACCATTAGCATTATTGTAAAGTCAGTAAAGCTTAATTTATTTAATAGAGTTCTCTGCTGCTAAATAAAGTAGTCCATAGTAGATAGTAGTGTGTGTGTGTGTGTGTGTGTGTATGAGACTGCTCAGCAGGTGTGAAACCCTGAATTCAAACCCCAGTACCACAAAAAGGAAAGAAAAAAGAAAGAGAGCGAGATTGAGAAAATATGAGAGGAAGAGAGACAGAGAGAGATTGAGAAAATGAGAGAGAGAGAGTCCTTCTGTAAACCCCATCTTGAACAGAGGCTACCTCTTGGACATAAAATCCCACATTCTATCTGACCAACAAGTTAAACTTTCTAAAATATTATTTCTTAACTAACAATGTTTGTGCTTCATGAAAAGTTGAAAAATGTAGCTACAATCATCAAAACATGCTCTCACAGAGGCCATTATTTCTTAAATTTGCTTTTTAACTGCAGACACAACTCATTGTCCTTTGAGTTGGGAATATAGGAAAGCATTGTAGGCAAACCCAGACCATTCTCTTATTTCTTTTCCCAGAATTTCTTTCTTAAAATTTCTGGCTTCTAATTCTATTTCATGTAGATGTCTTAGGCACAGTTATTGTGATGGGTCTTTACCATCATTAACTGCATGCTTTAGGCTTTCAGGTGGTGACTCAATCATACTAACACCCTTTACTGCATTAACCATGGTCGCTAGAATTTTTTTATTTAGCTACAATCACCATTCCAATTTTGTTATACTCATGATACAGGCTCTCTTCATTGCATCAAAAAATAGTGAGAAAGGGGGAACTCAAAGTAATTTTTATGTAAACACACATTAGCACTTATGTGCAAGTTTGTGAAGTGGAAGAGAAAGGAATAAAAACTCAGCAAGTTGCTCAGTACCCAAAAGGTGGGAAATGACTATGCCAAGAGGAAGCAGCACTTAGCTAGGTCTCATGGATCCAAAGCACAAGACTCCTCATAATGAGATCAAATTTGATCTTATTTAGAATTCTCTGCTTGTGTCTGAGCTCCACCAGCAAGAGGCAGTGGAAAGGAGGAATTGCAATGAGGGTTCCAATTGGAATCTGAGCTCTAAGAAGTTAAAAGAAATGGTGAAATGGACTGGAAGGAGATTGGCAGCCTGTATGTGGAATGGCTCCAGGACCTGAATCCTGTGCCTTGCCACGGGCACCCTGGGTTCTGACTTCATGCTCTCTTACCTCATTTGCCAAATATTTTGTCTGCTTATTATGATCCGTGCACTTTTCATTTGAAACACACTCCAAACCCTATTAGTTTCTCCTCTAAGAACCCTTCTCTTAATTAATTCTACAACATTTATATAATTAAACATCATCTTATCACCCACTTGTTCAGTTATTATATGAAACTATTCTGAGGACCCAAAAACTCTAAGCTGCTATGGCTGAAAAATTGTTTTAAAGCAGTCTTTAAACAATCAGGCAGAAAGACAGTAATCAGTCTTAGAGATGTGACCCACCTTGCTTATTTATATATGTCCTCTCATCTGTTGAAAAATATTACCAAGTTTTTTCCAGAAATTTCAATATTGTGGCACTAGTTAACATTTTATGTTACATGTTCTCCCAGGAGCCTTGGCTGTCAGAGGGTTACGCTGCACAAGAACATGTTTCTTACTTACATTCTGAATTCTATTATCATCATCATCCACCTGGTTGAAGTCGTGCCCAATGGAGAACTGGTGCGCAGGGATCCGGTAAGCACTGCATGGTTTTGTTTTCAGTTTTACTTTAATAATATAATATTTGTAAACAGTGAACATGGTGTTAATGTTGACTTAAGCAACTATTTGCTTGTGTAATCACATTTTCTTTTATAGCTGAGTTTTACACTAAATGAGGCATATCAGTTCTATGTAGTTCTTGGAAGTAGTTTTTACATGTTTTAGTAAAGGGCCAGGAATAATAGAGTTATAAGCAAATAAGAATCATACAACAGATCATAGTTTTATAACTACTTAATAGTTTATTAACACCGAGTGCTTCTTAGGGTCACAGAGGATATAAGGTACACAAAGGCAGTGTTTTCCAGTGACCCCAATTTGCCACTAGTGGTTACAGGTAGGCCTAGGTATCGATACCATCACTATTCTGGTGCCAGGCTGGATTTGGGTAGTCACTTCAACTATGAGCAGCTATGTGGTTACCAAATCAATTATATAAATATTATCATGTTCTATGTCTGCATGTTTTGAAAAAAAGATTTACACTGACATAAGGGAATGCAAAAGTATTTAGGGGCAACAGGACATATATCCGAGAAACTCATGCTCCATCATGTCAAGCAAATCTGATGTCTTCATTCTGTGTAAGTATTACAGAGACCAGGAGAGCTGAAATTGGCTAACTCCATTGCCGAGAACCAATCTGGGTTCTTCCTCCAAAATTATCCTGAGAATTGTTCACAATAACTCATTTTTGTATTCAATAGTTTCTCTATCTCCAAGATAGTGTTTTTCACAATGGTTTCCAAATATGGTCACACTTCAGAACCAACTAGGGAAATTTATGAACATTATAGCTGCTGTCCACATGGTGGACAGTAGCTATGGGGTACAATCAAGCAGTGCACCCTGGGTATTTCTCCTGTGCTGCCAAGATTGGAAATCACTGGCCAACTGCTGGATGGAGCAAATGAGTTAGCAGAGGAGGGCAAGGGAGACAGAGCTGTCCTGAGGCTTTGCTGGTTCATGGACATAATTTACCCATATTACAAACTACCAAAAACCAGAATTAGAAGGAATTTAGGAGTTTATATTATTTTCACTCCTTACTTTACAGATTAGAAATCTGAGAATGAAAAGGCAAAGTCTTTTGCCCTGAATTCTATAACTGGTTGGAGGGAGGGAGTAAGACCTCAAATCCACACCTCCTTACTCTCAGGATTCTTTTTTCCTTTGCATCACTGTAGTGTGTCTACTCTGATTATAAATTAATAAGGTGCTTAGTGACACCAAACTGGTTGATTGTTTCCAGAACTATCAGATTTAAAAAAAAAAATCATGTCACTTTGTGCTAGAAACTAAGTAACCACTTACTTTACAGAAATTTTTACTTAGTAACTCAGTGCATAACTAATGTATAATTATAGTTTCTATTATTTAATGATCAGTTCGCCCTCAGAAAGTATATTCCTTTTTAATTAGTGTATATTACTTTTATGAAGGGATTTTATTGTGATATCTCCATACATGTACATAATGTACGTTGATTATATTCATCTTCCTCTATTATTCTTTTATCCCTTCTCCCCCCTCCCATTTTTCACAATTTTAATAGGTTTCATTCTGCTATGTTTGCATATGTATATATTGTACTTCAATCATATAACCCCCAAATATTGTCATCTCAAAAAATCCACAAATTCTTCCTTACCATCTCGTCTGCAAACTTGCTTTCCTTAAATTTAATCTTGTCTTTATCATTAGTGGCCTGCACTTTAATTCCTCAACGATTCAATTCTGTAATTATTTATTACATTGTATGTAAAAATGTCAAGATTTAATCAATATTTGTTTTGAAATATTGATCAATCTATGTTTCATCCTAATATAAATGTGTGGACAGTACACGGAGGACTATTACCATGTGTAGGCCTAAGCAGACAAGTGAAGGGAAAGATGAAAGGACCTAAAGCCAAAGAAGTGGTATGGTAAGGGCTGACCTTCAGAAAGGACTTCTGTTTTCATACACATCCAGCCTGAGGTAACCACATAGGGAGGGGAGAATAAATATCTTTCTTTCACTCATTCTCAGCTCCCTATTAACTGAGCCCACCCAGAACCTGGAGGGCAAGAACCCCTAATGGAGACATACAGATCCACTCCTCTGGCCCCAAGTGTGGGGGAGCAAAATGGAGAGGGCATCTGGAAGCATAAACAGAAGCTATCTGGTACACGAGGAATGGCCGGAGGATATTTTCATTTTTGTTTCTCTGCTTAACTGTGTTGTGCAAGCATCTGTAGATAGCCTCATCTTTCAAAGCTGGCATTTGACAGTTCTGCCAACCCAGTGACAAAAATGCGTGAAATCTGCCCAGAGCATGCATCCTGCATGACAATGGCAGGGCATGGGAAAGAAGCTTGATTTGGCTTCTAATGGATCCACAGTGTTAATCCTTTCTGCAGTATGAATATGTCCAGAAAGACATTGTGCTATACCTTTTAAAACCATGACATCTTTTATCAGAGCAAAGTCCTGTTATACCTAAAGAATAATGTGACCAAATAGGCCTACCTTGATGAATTTTTCTAATACCAACTAATTTAAATGAAATTTATCTCATTTAATTTAATCTTCACAAGACTCCAGTGAGTAGATATTATTCCACTTTTAAAGTTGGGAAACTGAGGTTCAATGAAAGCAAGTGTTCTCCCTACCATAAATACATAGAGATGGGATTCAAATGCAGAACTGTCTCACACAAGCCCATCTCTCTCTCTATACTACATGATACTCTTGATTGCCTTTATTCATGTCCTTAGAAAGAGATGTCCTTCCAAGAAATGGACTCAGCCATTGCAAAACAATAACTTCCCAAATCAGACATGCAAACTACAGTTAATTAGTGAAGCTGATCCCATTGAATTTAAAACAGATGTAGAAGCAATTCAGTAGGCATTCTCAGTATAGGCTAATCAGATTTTTTACTTTCCAGTTCCTATTAGGATGGAAACCCTGAGAAATTTATTGTCTGTAGGGAGTAGGCCAGGAAATGGCACTTCAGTTCTTGAATAATCAAGCAGGCTGGCATGGGAGCAGTGGTCACTCAAATTATGAAGTATTATAAATTCATAAGTAGACACTCTCCATCTATCTTTTAAGATATGTGTACTTTCTATAACCTGTTGAATCACCATAAGAAGGGTACTAAGGTAGAAAGGAGAAAAATCGAGCGCATGAACCATACATATATAGATGGAAATGTCATAATGAGACTCCCTGTATAGCTAGTGTAAACAAAAACACCTTTTTAAAAAACAGAGAACAGAAAGGTAAAACAGATCCTGTCTGGGGGTTGGTTCCAGTGGGAAGGAGGAGGATTTACAAGGAAAGAGTGTAGGAGAGTGGCTGTAGTGGAAATACTATGTACATGTATGTAAATGGAAAAATGAGACCTGTTGAAACTATTCCAAGAATGGGGGAGGGGAAAGGATAATGACAGAGGAGTGAACTCAGCTATGATACGTTGTAAGAGCTTTTAAGATGCCACAATGTGCCCCCAGTACCAACTATAATAAAAAAAATAATTTTGCAAAAGAGATAACATTACAGCCATCCAACCAGGCAAAGGAATCACATCAACAACATTGTTTAAGGTCATATGCAGAACATATATTTTAAATGAATGATGTGAAATATTATATTTTTCTTTGGAAACTAGGGATCCAGTAAAGATTAGATCAGAGTTCTCTCAAAGTAAAAAAAAAAAAAAATAGAGACAAGAAAGAAAAATAAAAAAGGAGAGACAAAGAAAAAACAGTACAAGAAACTTTTGGAAAAGAAAAGTGATCAAACATTATCAATCTACAAATACTAATGGAAATTGCAAAATAAAAACTATAGCCATAGTCACAAATTAAAGAAAAGCATATCTATTAGGACTCCTTCTATCGTAAAAAGATTTTTCTACCCAACACTTTAGGGACTATTTTTAAAAAGTTATTTCTTGAAGAGAGTGGCTATGCTACTCCTGTAAGAATTTTTATTTTGTTGTAAACCACAAAAAAAGAAAGAAAGCAGTGTGTCTTCACTCCTCAGCAGTAAATCTCTATGGATTTGTGGTCTCTTCCCTATTCAAAGTCGTAAGCTTCTTCCCTGAGAAGTGTTGGGTTAGGTGTAGTCTCTCCTGTTTGACCAAGGGTAAGAATCTTATTCTTTCACTTTCTTATATTTTGTTTTTTGATTTAAATTCACAATAACTTATGGTAAAATAAGAGCTAGATAGATCCTCAGTTTATTGAGTGATATGAAAATTGTCCATTATCATTTGTTATTTGAGCCTTTCATTCTGGTATCTAAGAGAGTTGGAAGGCAGAATTAAAGCATTGTTCTTGTTGCATCTAAAGGAAAGCTAGAGAGATACTTCCAATTTTCAAAGAAAGAAAGTCTTTGAACTTTTTTATCTGGATGTGAGAGGGACAAAATAGGGAGATTGGTTTTTACTAGGGACCCGAGACTTCTCATGGCAAAAACCTAAAATCATTGAATCACATTTTCTGTAGTGTCTTATACAAGTAAAGGCAAATGGTCCAAATTCTGAAGAACAACCTAAATGCCTTGTAACCCTCTTTTGTTCAGGACACTGAGCTGCCAGACTATGTCAGAACTTGATCCTTGGTGGTCACAAGCATGTCAGGAGTGCTCAGAACAGGGTACTAGGGATGAATGAGCCCATGAGGGAAATGGACCCTGCCAGCTAAAGGAGTCCTGGTAAAGAGGGAGCACAGAAATGTGGGTAAGGTAGCCAACCAGCAGTTTTTGAGATAAGAAACTGGATTGGAATGATCTATTTCAGTAGTTTATGGGGAAAATAGATGGAGAGTAAAAGTTTAGATGAATCTGAGGACAATGCGAGGAAATATCCAAAATTTGGTCATGAAATGAAGTATCCCACCCTGGTCATTTATTCCTCATCACTTACAGGTCAAAACCAACATATGACTCTCCAACTTTGAGAAGGAATTGTTTAATATTTGCCACTGTAATTCTCATATAGTTTTACAGAGTGTATATTACAGGGTTCATTATCTAAACTGATTTAAATAAAGTGTTGATGGCTGAATAGATCTTATCTAGCAAAAGATCTCACAGATTAGGGCAAGTGGAGGGAGTAAATCTTACAAAAGAGAGAGTCAGCAAAGAGAAGCGTCAAATCTTTGTGTATACTTACGTTCAGACTTTGGCTGACCAATTACTATGTATGTGCAAAGAAATCCAAGAACATTACTAAATTTAAAATTACTAAATTGGGATTTAAGGTACCAATGTCACAAGAATTGTACTTTGGATTTAACCACAGTAAGTACCTCCAAATCAAGCAAACAAATAAGAAACTTCAAAGGAATATAACAGAATCCAGATTATACAACATCCTAGCATTTTCAGTATCCAGAATATAGTTCAAAATTACCAGACACCAAAAAAATTAGGACATATGTTACCCATTCATTCACAAGAGAAAATACAGTTTCTCTTGAAAATGTATTTAGTTACCCCAGGTGCAAAATTAGGAGACAGAATGTTTTTTTGGTGGCACTAGAGTTTGAACTCAGAAGTTCAGGTTTTCTAGGCAGATGTGAGACACACCTCTAATACTGCAGACAGAAATTTTAAAGTAGCTATTTTAACTATGCTGAAGGTTGTGAATGAGCTTCTCATTTCACCAATATGTTTGGGCATCATGTGAATACAGCAAGTTCTTGCCCAGCAAATAAAAAACTAACAAAATATTAAATCAAATAATCCCAATTGGGAAAGTAATCATCTGGCAGGAGGTAAAGGGACAAGTCAGTTCTTCCCTGAGCCAAACATAAATTCAAAAGAAAGCACACCAGAATACATGCTGGCGCAGAATATCAGGTTCCCCGTGAATTAATTACAACTGTTAACAGAAATGTATGGTTCTGAAAAGATTCTGCAAGACTGAAAGTCACTACCTTGTTTTATAAAAAGAAGTCTGAAGCCAGACTCAAAATGCAGTAGAAAGGAGCAACATAATGTAAAGAGAGCTTTTGGTAAAATAATAACAATGTGTTAAGTAACCACTCCTACCTGCAAACTTTGAATGCTCCATTACACTGTGGCCGCCATTGTTGTAGTGTTTGTGGTTGTTGAGAGTTAATCACAGCTAGAAACCCTCAAGTAGAGTTCCTCATCTAGGTACTTTTTGCTCAAGGGACAATTGGCACATCTAGAGACATCTTTCATTGTCATGACTAGTTGGGGAAGGCCACTGCATCTGTGGATAGAGCCAAGGAATACTGCTAAATTCCTGCCATGCACAGGCAACCCCTCAAAGAAAAAAAATGTCCAAAATTTCAAGGATGTCAAGACGAAAAAACCTACTCCAAGTACATGGGGTATAATTTAGGGTATTCTGAAAAGCAGTTAATCAATGGTTACTTCTGGAAGGACAATATGTAATTAACTTGACTCTCTAGGGATGTCGCTCCTATATCTGCATAGAGTGGCCAGCAAAGATGCCATCCTAGTCTCATTGCCCAGAAAGGGCTTGACAAGCACACGTATCCTAATGTAGAAAACAATGCACCATGTAAACATGAAACCCTGGGCATCAGCTAGGCCCAGCATGTGCTCCTGGTCCATACATAAGAAGTTTATCACCTGGTCCTGTCCTTTTTGTCACTAAGAAGACATCACTAACAAATTGGGGAACCTTAGGAGCAGTATTAAAAAAGATGTCTGGGTTATTTGCCTCATTAACTACAGGGGGGAAAGGCCATAGAAGCCACATGACAAATTTTTGATTCTTTCTACATTATTAGTCTCATATACCTTGCAGGAAAACTAATCTGTCTAGGAGCATGGTTGTTCATGCCTGTATTCCTCGTTACTTAGGAGGCAGAGAGTAGGAGGATCACAGTTTGAGACCATCCTGGGTAAAACGTTATTGAAACTCCCATCTTAACCAACAGGCATGGTGGTTCATGTCTGTTCTCCCAGGTACACAGAAGACATAGCTAGAAGGATCACAGTCTGAGGCTGGCCTCTGGCAAAAACTGGAGACCCTATCTGAAAAATAATCAAAACAAAAAAAAGACTGTAGGTGTAGCATAAGTGGCAATGGCAGAGCACTTGCAAGTGTGAGGCCCCGAGTTCAAACTCTAGTACTGCCAAAAAGAAAAGAAAATTTACTTATTTAGTCTAAAATGAGTCCCCAGAATGTAATGGAGAAAGCACATTTTGTAGACTTGCTTCAAGTGGCCTAAATGGCTATGTGCATGGAAAACCTGTGATCTGCATGCTCCCACTTTGACTTCTGGCTATAGAGGTGACACATGTTGACAGAATCTTGGGTAAACTGCCCTGCAAGCTGAATGCAGGTACTTGGCTCATATTTGTATTTGTCCCTGACTCACTGCTGAACCTTTACCGGTATCTTCATGTCTTTTACAGTTGATCTGCAAGATTTTGCACTTCTTCCACCAGTACATGATGGCCTGCAATTATTTCTGGATGCTCTGCGAAGGAATCTATCTCCATACCCTCATTGTGGTGGCCGTGTTCACTGAGGCACAGCGCCTGCGCTGGTATTACCTGCTGGGCTGGGGTATGTATTTCCTCCAGCTGAGTTTTGAGCCATATTTGCCTGTGTTTATATGCTTACAGCCTCTTCTGTTTTAGGTCTCAGAGAACAGAGTCAGGAGCCCAGGTCCTGCCAGGAAAGTTAGGACTTAGGTATTGGCAAGAGTTCAGTCTCTGAGAAAGCTTGGTAGATGCCCTCTACCAATGTCAATCAAACTATGATGAACTTGAGGGTCAGCAAAGAGAAGGAAGGTGTTTCTAAGAGTGTCTTCAGGAAATAAACCAAGCTAATGGAGTAGCGTAAGCATGTCCTGAGGGAGGAGAGATCCGATCAGATCCTCTTCTGCTTTATTCATCACACATTTGTAGAGCAAAGAAGAAGTTCACATTTTAAATTCTCCTCCTACTTCCTCAATGTCTTCCTGTCAGTTGATCATCAAGACTCCCCCAGTGAACCATCAGAAAGTAGGGTCCAGCTGAGAAGCAGACATACCATATGGGCCTCCTAATACACATGACTGACGTCATGCCACAAGGCTGTGGCTATGAAAAGCATAGGGTTGGATTGTTAGGTCTGTACTGACTGATGACTGACTAGGGTAGAGTGCAGGCATCTCTCGAGAGTCACTTCCCTCCCCCAGGCCTGCTAAAAGTCCAGCTCCTTCTGGCAAAGGAGAAGAGATAGACTGTGAGTCAGTGAGAATGAAAAAGCATTATTATAGAAACACATTCTGCCTTATCAGAAATAATCACTTGCCTTGAAAGTTCTATCCCAGAGAAAGAACTCATGGGCCATACCTCACTGACCATAGGGCTGAGGGTATCCCTCACCAAATCCACCAACAGGGCAGCTGTGACTCTCACAGCAGAGATTACAGATGGTTTTCAATTTAGCCTGCCTTTTAGGGGAAGAGGAAAGATTTACTGAGGAAAGAAGAGGATGCAAGGGCTTTTGTAAAACATCTTTTGTATTGAAAGCTTTGCACAGCAGACATTGTTACCAATTTTATAAAAATGTGCCTGAGAGGTCTGTGCAATCCAAAGTCTTGTCCACGGTTTATACCTCTGGGTGGCCCTATGCAAAACACCCTCTGTCCCCATAACACCCATCTCTAACAGAAATACATGAATTTTAACCAAATACACTTTTCAAACCTGATGGGATAATTCTGTGGTGGTGACCCTGTGCCTCAAATTTGAACTGAAGATGTGTCTACTCTGTCATTGCAAGCAACAGAAAGTAAGATGTCCTAACTTTATCAAAAATAGAGAAATTGCCAGAATCAAGGGTATCTCATGGAAATGGAGGTCACAATCGCAGCTGAAAAGGACTGTGCCCTGGAACCAGATACCAGGAGCACTCTCCCTCTGACTTTGTCTTTGCTTTTCTCTTTGTCTTATCTTTCTCTATAGACCAAAGACCCACCCCCTCAATCCTCATGGGAAATACAAACTGCCCCAAAGTTTTCTGAGTTCACATTTTTCCTGTTCCAGGCACACAGCAATTTAAGTCCCATTTTGAAAGCTCAGGGAAAGAGAATCTGATTGGTCCAACTAAGGACAGGTGGCCTACCCTGGTTCAATTAATTGTGTCCAAGAGAGGAGAAAAAGATGTTGTCATGGAGTGGGACAACAATCTAGAAAAGAAATGGGAGGGAGTGTTTGTAAACTTCACAGTCTGTGTAGAATATACTGCTCCCCTCTGAGGGACCATGCAACCACAGCATCCACAGCATCCATTCCTCTAAGCATCTGAGAGGCAAGAATCAGGCTTGTGATTGCCCTGTTAGTGCCACATCAGGTAGTAGGTTCTCCTGCTTTTATCTGTGCTCAAAACAGGCCTGAATAATCAAAGGGCCTTTTTGTTATTATTTTTTCTTTTATCCCCATCCTTGCACAAGAGACTAATCTTTCCTTTCCCTGGCTTTCTCTGCCTTGTGCGCTCCCTCTCAACTATTTTTGTGCTTTTAAAGCTGGTCATGCCAGAAATGAACTGGATACAATTTAATCCCCCAATAGAAATTCTGATCATCACAATGGTAACAATTGATGCTAATTGAAGACATGAAAAATGACATCTTACCTTAGGCCTACCACACACACACACACACACACACACACACACACAGTATTTCTTTCGGATCTGGTTTACTTATTTCCTTTGCGAAAAAAAAATAAAAACATGGCACATTCCTTCCACCAGTTTTGACTATTCAAAATTATCTGCCATACTTAGAAAATTTTCCATGGGGAAAAGGGCTATGAATTTATTCTTGTTTGGAACATTCAGCACAGCTGAGGGCACCTGGAAGGAACGATTTATACTGGTCCTTTCCATACTGATGCATTGTGAATTAGTTATAAAACTTCAGTATCATCATAGACAGCTCACTGAAGACACCTACTTAATATATATAAACAATACAAAGGATAAAATGACCATCTGCTCATCTGTATCAAAAGAAGAGATAATAAATGAAATATTTATGTGATATCTTAACCTTCCTTAATCAGAAAATATTTAAAACTTCATCAGAATGATTTAAATAGAATCATAAAGAACATTGCTCTAAGTGAGGTAAACATAGAATGGGGCATTGCTAATCAATGTGTATAGTTTTAGTAGTGCAAGATGAATGAATTCTAGACATCTGTCGTATGACAATGACTACATGTTAGTGTGCACTTGAGAAATATGAGACAGTAGATCTCATGATGAGTGTTAGTACCATAATAAAGTGAAAACTAAAAAGAATTTGTACTCCTATAGACAAAGCTTTGGAAAGACAGAGTCAAATAGTTCAACAATGTAATTATTTTTTAATAAGTCAGAGCTGTTTTCTCTCTCTCTCTCTCTCTCTCTTCTCTCTCTCTCTCTCTCTCTCTTTCCCTCTCTCTACCGAACTCCTTGCCATTAAAAAAGCACAGTACCAAATTTGAACGCCAAGAACAAAATTGAGAATGGTGATGACTTATTTTATAGCAATAACCCTCTCTTAGAACTTTAAGCAAGCAGTGTCTTTGGGTCGCAGGAATACAAGGAAAGTCACTACCCAATAACTTCTCAAAAAACAAAAGTTGCACAAAAACTTTAAAGAATTCAATGGAACAGAGAAAAAGAAATTTATACTGGACAATAAATTTATTGTACTTTTGAAATTCTTCTCATATTAAAATAGTGTGATAGGTTTTAAATTTTACAATGTCAAGAACAAAAGGCATGACCTATACTTTGAAAAGTTGGGTTGCAGAAAGTGTGGCCCCCAAAAGCTATGTCCTGGGGGTCTAACTATTTAGTTATTTTAGGTGAATGTTATCAATTCCATTGGGAACAGCTCTGAGTGATAAGAGACATTGTAAACATCTTTAAGAGTGATAAGAGACAAATTCTGGTGGTGAAATTCTTCCTACCAGAAAGTGAAAGGATGGTTCTTCAGTGGTTACTTTCACTAAGTCTGCATGACACTACTTAGTGACTATGCCTCTCAAACTGAAGGAACTTCAGGTTCTTCAGGTGGAGTCTTTGTGTTACTGGCTTTCCCGTTGTTATAAATAGAAGCAAGGAAAGTCCTCCTATGGAGTTTTACATTGAACAAACAGAATTTATTACATCTCCCCTAAAAATATCCTATGGAATGAAGATTATTCTTGCTCTACAATCCTTGGGTGGGAGGTATATGTTGTTACTTTTCAAGGGACCTGGGAGAAAAAAAGAACAAGGGAAAAAAAAATAAATTTTCAAAAGGGCATAATGGCTAGAGGAAGGCAAAAAACCCAGGAGTTAGAGGTGAAGTCTGTACGCTCCTATATTAAGTAGGAAACACAATTTTCCTTCCTTTAAAATGAGCAGCTAAGAGTCTGATTTCCATATGCCTCTTTTGCTATCTAATTCTAAAACAGGTATTTCAGAATAAATCCAGAGAGTGAGTTTGTTGCTTCTGAATTCAAATGAGGGAATGGCATGTTAGAAATGCCAGAAATAACACAGTCATATTTTGTATAAATAGTCTAACTTAATTTTTTAGCTCAAACAATTAATCAGTGGTCTTATTGAAGTATATCTTGTATGAGTTTAGAAGCTGAGGTGAAAACTCAATATTTTTAGACCACTTTTTTGCATACAGTTAAAGAAAACAAAAGTAGATAGGCTTAATTCTCTACTGAGACATATTTCTTATTTTGATGATAATAGCAAAACCTCTTTCTACAGGTGTTTCAGTGAAATCAAACAGATTGCACAGAGGTACATCTGACTAAAAGAAAATCTTTTCAAAGGAAAATTATGACTTTAGATTACATTTATAGAGTGCAAATTAATTTTGAAGAGAAGTAGTTTTGCAGAATGCACTGTCAGTAATGAACTCCATTGCTCCATTTATAAATGCATGGGTGTTTGTTACCAGTAATCTGAGTTTAGTTAGGAAAGTGGACACTAAGCCACCTCCACAAATGTTCTACAGACAGAACTCGGAGGGTAGGAAATACACTGGCTTCTCTAAAGTGTTTGTATTAAAAGGAAACAGGCAACATGCATGCTATAAACAAACAGAAAAACGAAAAGTCTAGAAAGAACATGACAATCAAACATGATTCTAGGAGCAATTATACGATCACTGCCATACCTGTCCCAATTCACATTCCTCCAGCTCCTCTCCATGAGAGACCCTAGTTCACTCACAGTGAAAGACTTTCTGGTTTCAGTTAATAGCCATCATCAAAGTCATCATCATAAACACAATGTTAGTAACGGTCATAGCAAAAGTTACAGTGTGACACCAGGAATTTGTGAAAGACTTTTAATTGTCTGGATATTCTAAGCCAAATTCTCTGGAAGCACATGATGTTCTACCAGGAGCATGTTTTGCTGGCTCAATCAAAGCTAATTTGTACACAAATATCAGGGGAATATATTGTCACTATTTTTTGCAAATATTCTATCATTTTCCATATAAATATAGTTATAGGTTATAACCAAAGAACCAAATGTGATTTGTATTTTCACATTTTTTAGGATTCCCTCTGGTGCCAACCACTATCCATGCCATTACTCGAGCTGTGTACTACAATGACAAGTAAGTGTCATGGTAATTTTTAAGTTAATATATTCATTAATAAAATGCATTTGTATTGACATGTTTCTTCTGTTGTTTTCAGCTGCTGGCTGAGTGTAGAAACCCATCTGCTCTACATCATCCATGGCCCTGTCATGGCAGCACTGGTGGTAAGAACTGGTTTTTACATCTATCATTAACAGTATATTTCTTTGTTGGGTTTGTTACCAGTATACTTCTATGTAGCATATGAATTATAACTTCAAATAAAACTAATTTAATAATACTCTGTAAGGAAAATAATTTTGTTCTTCAAAAAACACCTCTTATTTTATTTATGGGGGAAGAGGTTATCATAATCTTATTTGCATATACACACCATAATAGCAGTGTAGCTGCTGAAATCTTAGATTAGTCAATTTACCTAAAGAATATGCATCCCTCCATTTCTTTATCTGTTAAAAGAGTGATAACTGCCCATAATTCTTTTTTATAAAATATTTCCTAATAGAAGGTGTTATTCTCAAAAAGTAAAGCAAAAATTATAGCCATTATTTCTATCCTTCAATTCTAAAACAAATATTTCTTGCCTCAATTATCTAGATGTTTAGAAGGAAATGTGCACTCCAGGATTCAGACTATAAGTTTGTATCCAAGATGGTTGTCTACATATTCCACTTTGGTGTGAATAATCATAAGTTGGCAGAACATGATATATTTCTAATGTTTCTTAATTTTGCAACTGTAGGAAATGCTGAATATATGTTTAGTAAATATATATATAATATTTATATATGAAAAAATATATTCTTAATTCTACAACCAAAAGCAAAAATGAGTCCTAGGTGAATTGTCATTATAAGTTAAATGTAAATGGTAAAACAGTGGCATATATAGAAGACCCATTAGGTGAATATTTTCATGAGCTTGAGAGATGAAAATATTTCTAAAGCAAGATACAAAAGCACTCAAGGAAGAGATTGATAAAAAAAATTTTTGCTTACAGTACAATTAAGACAATATTTAGAGAGTAGAAAGAAATACCTAAGAGCTCAAGAAGAGTCCAATATCCCAAATATAAAACAATAAATGTATGAAAGGTGTGTAACCTCATTAGTCATCAGGGAAATGCAGGTTAAAACAACAATGAGCTGATACCACACCTCTACCAGCATGGCTAAGAGTGACCCTGCCAAGCACTGGCAAGAATGAAAAGTAACTGGAACCCTTGTACACCCCTGGAGGGAATACAAAATAGAACCTCCCCTTTGAAAACCCAGTTTGCCAATTTCTTACTAAGTTAAACATATACTTACCATATGAACAAGCAATTATGAAGAGAAATGAAAATGTAAGTCCACATAAACTCATATGCAAATGTTCAGAGCATCTTTATTCATGAGAGTTAAAGAATGAAAAGGACTCCAATTCCCATCAACGGGAAAGTGAATAAGCAAATTATCTGAACTTTTCATATAATAGAGTACTACCCTGCAAATAAGTGGAATGCTAATATACGCGACATCCCACAGATAACGTGTTACACTAAAATAGCCAGACACAGATGAGGACATACCATACAGTACACCATTTCTAAGGTAACAAGTCATTGTTGCTAGAGGTAGGGCAGGAGAGGGACACTGATTGCAACAGGACAGGAGGGAACTTTCTGGGGTGATGAAAATGCTCTGTATTTTTTCTGGAGTGGTCATTACACAGATACATATGTTTGCCTTAACTTCTTGAATGTCTGCTTGAAATTTGCATTTTATTTATATAAATTATACTTCAATGAAGTTATTTTAATGTTATTTATAAAAGAAACATGGGGTAGCTGTCTCTACCACACACAAACTTTGCAGATAAATTTTTCAGTCCTGATTTCACTTTTGGTAAAGTAGTCCTGACTAAGAGGAAATCTTGATAATGAAAAGACAAGATGGCAAATCTAAAAGAGTTGTTATAACTAAAATTCTAAATAAAGGATAAACATAAACATCTAAAAACCGTAAACATCTAAATAAAGAATTAAATACCACCATTAGGGTTGAACTTTATATATTTACATGTACAGGAAAAATATTTCCTCATTTAGGGGGAAGATTTTTAAATGGCATTCAGTTATACTTGGGTTTAGAGTCTCAGAAATGCTAAGTGAACTTTGCTTCTTTTCAGGCAATCACCCATGTTCTGTATAGGTGACAACCACCCCCCACACTAGATAAAAAAAGAACCGAGGGCTACAGATTTCCTTAAGTGTTACATAGCTAGATGATTTGCTCATAATATCATATCTTTGCAGGTCAATTTCTTCTTTCTGCTCAACATTGTCCGGGTGCTTGTGACCAAGATGAGGGAGACCCATGAGGCAGAATCATATATGTACCTGAAGGCTGTGAAGGCCACCATGATCCTTGTGCCCCTGCTGGGAATCCAGTTTGTCGTCTTTCCCTGGAGGCCCTCCAACAAGGTGCTTGGGAAGATATATGATTACCTCATGCACTCTCTGATTCATTTCCAGGTAAGGAAGCCAACAGTGTGTTTATTCAATGACTTGTTCAGCTTGTGGATCCATCTAACTCTAAAGCCTATGATCTTACATTTCATAGCTTATAGCCTTCAGTTCAATAGGTCCAACCAAAATTCTGAAAGAAATCTGTTTTTTAAGACACTTGGTTCTGCTTTCCATGCTTGCTTTCCCTTTATCCCAGAACCCTCCTACTGCCCCCACACAGGCATCTGGTCACACATAAAGCAACTGTCAGGCCTTCCTTTCATAAATAAATGTGACTCTGGGGTACTGAGGAGTAATGAATTTGCACAGAAGTGTCCATGCCTCCTGTTCTGCCACCCTACATTTGTCAAGCAAATACCAGGAATCCATCCATGATAGTTCAGTGACTATAAAGGAGAATTGTGCCTGAGTCTCTTCTCATGTAAGAGGGAACATAGCAGCATATGAGGAACTGTCCTGGGCTGCACAGAGTCCACAACACTGGAGAAGAGAATGGCTGTTCTTTCTTAATCACTCAAAGCTTTGTCCCAAATCCAAAGCCCTATTTAAGTCACAATGCCAGGCTTTTTGAGAGCAAGGTAAGTTATGGTGGTTCTTCAAGCAGGGGAGATTCTACAGGCTTTTAGACCTGAGTTTTTCTGCCTTGATTACAAACTTCAAATTAGTTTCATTTTCTTAATGTGAGGAGGTTTTATTTTTAATTGTGTTAAAAAGAAAGTTTAGATGTTGTTTTAATGACTTGAGTTATTGTTTGGGCCATAATTAAAACTTGGGCACAAGGAAACTTTTGAGCAGTACCCAGGATCTCAGCAGCTGACTGGTCTATGTCCTCATTTGAGAAATGCACTTGGTTGGGTGCACAGCAGCATATTCATTCACTGAACAATGCAGGACACAGGCCCACAGCTATACATGGTGGCACTTGTGCTTGTAAAAGATCACTCTGCTGAACTCTACAAGAGCTCAATTTTTAATTATTTTAAGTACTATGTTCTGAATCTGCTATAATCTGCACATTCTGCCAAAAATCTTCATGTTAAATGGAACAGTAAGCAAATTTACTAGAGCTTTCCTGGTAGCTGAATACTAGAATCTTTACCCAAAAAAATACATTTTCAATGGAATATTCTTGTAGTATAGCACTGAATATGAAGAAGAGGTCATTCCATTTCTTGTCTTTAACATCATCAAGTCTTGATGTGCTATTGCAGTAGTGAAATATTCCTCTCCAGGCAATCTTTGGATATGAATTGTAAAACAACATAAAGCACATAAAAATAACTTCTATTTTTCCTTCTCTTTCTTAGGGATTCTTTGTGGCGACTATCTACTGCTTCTGCAACCATGAGGTAAGCATGCATTTCATGGAATACTGACACCCATTCACATAAAACACTTTAGTTTCCAAAGGGCCTCTATACATATTTCACTGGATCTCATTTCTACAGTTCTATAAGGTTTCATGACTAGTGGGATTGTGTTTTCCCCACTACCCTATGCTGAATCTTGCCTATGGATGTAATACAATTGAAGGTAGGATCCAACAGGCAGCTAAGTTCTTATATCTTTGGGTTTCATCCTGAGCTGGTCAGCAGCCCCAGCAGCAATAGTAAAAATTATTCTTGGTTCTCATGGAAAAATAAATCACGTCCCTATTCCTTTTGAAAGACCCATACCCTGGCTAGAACAGCCAATATCCTGCCAGTTTGCATTAGTTTACTTACTCTCACAGTACTTACTGAACATTTTGAAAATCACCCTGAAGCTAAAACTCAAAAAGGATTTTCAAATAAATAATCTATTGTCAGAATATTCAGGTCAGTAGAATCTAGAGATTCATATGGCCAGTGTTCTTGGGTACTTAGTGAGAGTACCCTTTCTTCCAACAGAATCTTGCCTGGTAGCTCAATTTATCAAACATGTAAGTAGAACTGCTGTAGCTCCAGAAGTTCTTACTAAGAGCTTCCAGAGTTTCGAGGAACATGATTCAAAAGCTCCCTCATTTAGAAATCTTAGCTCCAGAAAGATCGTGTGATTTTTTTCCAATGTCACAAATGTAGTTGTGGTGACAACCAGTACTGGAGCCCAGATTTTCTGCTTCACAATTAAATTAAGTCTCAATTAAATTATCTGTGTCTATGATTCCTCCCTAGAGCTTTGAGAATAGGGGAATACACTTTCTCTAGGACTCATAATTTAAATGCAAGAATATTTTAATCATTTAAAATTAGTTCCTGTTAATTCCATACAAGACAAATCACACTGTTAAGTTATCAACATACTATTTTCCTTTCAGTAATTAGAAACATTATCTGGCCATTATCAATTTGTACTTGATATATTTTCTATTCTTTATTTCTTTAGTTAAACAATATTCAGTGAGCACCTAAAACATTTCCCTGCTCTGTAATCTGTTACCCATCTCCAACCCCAACAGGGAAGATTTTATTATTCTCTTTTGGAACATTGTATTCTTTACTACCTTCATCCAACAATTCATCCCTTCAGTCAACAAAAATACATTGTGCATTCACTATTGCTAGGGGCTGGATTAGAGTCCTAGAATAAAAATGAGATTTCCTCTGTTGCTATTAGAGTATCCCCTTCTTTTTTATTGTTTTGAGAGAAAATCTATAAATGAATAGGGCTTAAATCATCCCATATACAGCATCATGCCAGTGAATACAATGCAAATAAATACCCTTACTTTTTGAGTTGTTTCAAGTGACATGCAAAATAATTCAACTAAAATATCAAAAAAGGGATAATGTGAAAAAAGGATTCAGGTGGGGCATACCTTGAAAATCACAAGAGGATTTCCTGCATTTGTAAAAATACTGCAATATTTATTGTGTCTTAACTATGATGCTGTCAGTAGGAGTGGAAAGCAAACCCAGGGGTATAGCTAACAATTGAAATAGCTTGAGTTCATTTGAGTATGTTATCTCTGTTTTTGAAGTAAAGAAACCATTTCCATTTTCATTAAGATCCTGTTACTGGAAGAATGTGCAAGTGTGACATTTCTAATAATATAGAAATTGTGTACTGTGCCAAATGTAATATCACAGCCCATGGATGTCAGGCATCTGGGTCTCAGCTGGGCATTCTGTGTATGTATCATGTTACAACACTGAATACTGGCAGGGCACTCACACTTGCAGGAAGTTATTTCCAGCTGTATCTGAGCTGGAACTCTGAGGGACTTTGCCTGACAGAATATTGAGGTTTAGCAGAGCTCTAGGGGGCTGATATGTCAGTTGTGAAATTGTGGGATTGAAATTTTAATTTTGATTCATTATCAATATGTTATCAGTGACTAATATTATGGAAGTGGATCATATAGAGGGTCTTTGGGGAAATAAGAAGCAGGGAAGAAATTTAGAGAATTAAAGCAATAGGAATCACATGTCCACAAGACCGTATTTCTATATCAAGCATTTCCTACAGCAACTCTTCCAAGTGTGTGGACATTGATTATTCAAATATATCAATAAATTATTATATTATAATTCAATAATTAATAAAATATATTATTTATTATTAATAAATATTTAATATAAATAAGATGTCAGGCATGAAATGCACAATTTTGTTTTCAACCAGTAGCTTACACAATAGATTTTTCTCCCTTTTTCATGTTTGTTGCTATTGCTCATGCATGAGTTATGGATAAAATAATTTGTAAAGGACAATCAGAAGAATCTCTCTAACAGTTTTAAATTGGAGTATGAGTAAACTAAAACTTGCTCTTGAGAGCTCATTCCATTAGCCTTTAATGGTTTGATAGTCTCTTCTTGGAAATAATGCAGTCAATTCAATAAGCCTTTATCTGAAAGCATTGGTTGCCAAATAGCAATGTCAGTACCACATACTATTTGAGCTTCTTTGTGGCTCCCCTTCACGTTCTGAGAACCCTACTGGTCTTTCAATCTGTAACCTCCTCGACCAAGTCACATTCGCCAGTTCCTTCTGTCAATCCTGAGAAGCCTGAGAACTTCCAGCTCCTTTCTTCACACTATGTGTAGAGCCTGTGAGTCTGTCTTCAGTACATTTCATAGCTTTGCCATCCTACTGAATGGGCACCATATTGGACACGATATCTGGACAAATGTGGGATTCCTTTACTATGCTGTCCATATCAAAAGGAAAGACCTACTATAATAGGGTATTAAAAAAAATTATCCCTTACTTTTTTCCTTCTTCCTATTTTCTCAGGACTTCACCATGAAGGGAAAAGGCAAAGTCATTTATATCTCTATACCTCTTCCCTTTTAGGACTGGAAGGCTCTGACTCAACACTTCCTCTTCCTGTCTGTAAAGGACCCTTCCTATGTCATATCCTACTCATTCTCCACACTATGGCTTTTAGCAGACTTCTGTTTTCAGACCATAAGCTTTCCATTAAATTTGCAAAGAGAGGATTTTCTACTTAGAAATTCTCTTACTAAAACTTGGTTTTCAAAAGTATTGTTTTTTGTTTTCAATTTTTCTAAAATCGGGAGAAGGGACAGGAGATATTGGTATACTTAAATATACTTAGAGAGTAAATATCAAGAGACTGTTTTCTTTCTAGAGACCAAAGAAAGTCAGCTGGGGAGCCAAAACCTAAGCAAATAATTTCTTTGTTCTAGACCAGTGTGCTCAAGCCTAAGTGAATATCACAATCACCTGGAAAGTCTGTTAAAATACAAATTCTGCCCCCAACAGCAGAATTTCCTATTCAGATAGTCTGGAGAATTTCAGTTTCAGAAGCTGTATGTCTAACAAGTTCCTGGATACATGTAGACTGTTGGTGTGGAAACCCCACTTTGAGAATCACTCTTCTAGGCAGAATCTAACTTACTATCAAACAGTGGGTGACCATGGCAAAGAATGGAGAAGAAAAACAAGATACAATTGCTAAATATTTTTCAAAGATTTTAAACTTATTACAACTATAGTTGTTTTGCTGTTACAAATAAGGCTCTAGAATAAAAAATCTTCCCTAAACACAGGAAAGTAGGTGTGAAAGGGAGATAAAAGTCCTGTTCTTGTAATAATCAAGTATAGTTACCATCGAATTGTAGGAACATACAAATTTTTGGTAAAACTAGTACCTAGCAAGATCACTAGTGATACGTGCTGATATGGACTCCAAAAAATGAAAAAATATCTGTAACAATTTTGTAAATAATATGCAGAAGTATTCCTCAGCCTAATTAGTGTCTTTAATGATGACCCAACTTCCGAAGTTTACATGAAATCACTTAAAGTATCAAAATTCAACCTTTTAGTTGCCAAGAGAAATTAAATTTGTCTATCATGAATTTAGTCTTAATTTAGCGTTGTAACAAAAATATTGGATTGTTGGCAACAGGAAGTGAGGGAGTATAAAAGCATGATTTACTAGCATACTATCATTCAAGGAAACCCCACCTTCCGCAGCAGTATATAACTACAGATGTAGAAACTGAGCCTCCAGCATACCTACCTTACTTACATAACATAAATAATTAGGATCTGGTCAATAATTATGTCTCAAACCATCCAGCCAGGGCCTCAGTTTTCAAACTTAGCAATAAATAAATTGATAAAATCAAGGGAAAAAAATAAAGAGATTTTTGCCCATTGCTTTTTTAAATGAGTGATAAATTGGTATAATCCAAAGCTTTGTATGTTGCATCTCCTGAAGTTTCTGTTGTTTTTCAGAAGCAACAAGTCTCCTTGGTTGTTGTTTTTTTTTTCTTTAAGAACACAGATTCAATGTCCTTATTCTTGTCATCAAGCACTATCAGGCTTAACCTGTATTTGTAGGAAGAGAATTGTTAATCCAAAGCTTTGTATGTTGCATCTCCTGAAGTTCCTGTTGTTTTTTCAGAAGCAACAATTCCTTGGTTGTGTTTTTTTTTTCTTTAAGAACACAGATTCAATGTCTTTTCTTGTCAATCAAAGCACTATCAGGCTTAACCTGTATATTGTAGGAGAGAATTGTTCTTATTAAACTGTAATTATTTCAGTGTCTTTTGCATGATGCTCAGGGCCTGGTTTTCTATGTGTGGTTTACAAATTGGAGCAGATTTCCACACAAAAGGATGGGTTAAAATTTTGGAATTAAATTAGAGAAGCCTATGAACTTTCTGTAATAATAACTTTAAAATTAAAATAGACTTCAAATGCTTTGGCCTCATGCTGGGCTGGGTTCTTCAGTGTACATGGGTAATAGGGAGTATTTTAAAAGGACAGGTTAGGCAAAAAACAAAGATTTTTTTTTTCTGCTGGCACTTCTGCAAACCCACTTTAAACTTACAACTATCTGATTTGAATACCTTTAAATGTCTGTGCAAACTTTAGCTATAAGGACAGTCTTAGT